ATATTTTTTCAAATATAATAAATCGAAAAACTGTATATCCGTCCATTATATGTTGATTTTCCTGTTTCTTGTTATTTCAGTCTTTTCCAAATGTGAAACGAACATCTGTTCACCGGCAGACGCGATTTCTGAAATGAAAACGGATCTGTTTCCAAAGGCTGATGCACTTATTATTCTCGACCGAATCGACGAATACCTGGGTGCGTATGCTTTCCGCGACACTGCAAAAAATCCACCACAACCACCAAGTCGTCCTACCTATCACAAAAAGTTTGATATTGATGCGGAAATCGCAAAAATTCGAATAAATGTAGAATCTGCTCCTGAAAATGTCAACTTTTATGATTTCTTTGTTTCACTTCAAAAACTTGTGAAAGGGCCAAGTGATCTCCACCTCTCCTTGAAAATAGCGGATTCAACCAACTATAAAATAACACAATTTTACACGATGAATCCAATTAATTTCGTTTTCAAAGGAAAAGACGTTTATCTTCGAGTTGTCAACACAATTCTTGGACTCTCTCCACAACGTATTTTTGGCCAGGAGATCATCACTTCTCTCAACGAAAAGATGAACAACAATTCGAAGATTATAAAGATCAATGGCGTCGACGCAACACAATTTCTTTCAAATTATGCACTGAAATATTACCGCCTGAAAAACGAAAACGGCGCAATTGCTTATATGAAACAACTCTTCGAGGTATCTCTTTACTCATCATTTCCATATGAAGAAAACGATTTAAAATTTGTGTTAACTTTCTCGGATAATACGAGTGTCTCGTTTAATAGTGTGTTGTACTATTTGTCACCGTCTCTTTTTAAATCCAATGACGAAGCTATGAAAATTAAACGAGTGATCGATCAAAAGACTAAAAACGAACGCGATAGGGTTAGCAATAATGAAGTAATCGCTAAAATTCCATTTGAAATTACAAACACTGATTTCGCTCCGAAGTTGAAAGGGGAAAACGTGTATGAATATACACTTCCAAATATCATTTCATGCACAAAACGTGTTATCGATGATATCAATATGAACATTTTAGTCGTCAACTCTTTTTCACCAACTAAAGTGAGCGACTTCATTACAACTGCAGACAACTGTATGAAGTTTTTTGATACGAATACTCACCCAATTTTAGTTGTACTCCCAAACAATGGAGGTGGGTATGTAAGTGCAGAAGACTACCTTTATAAACTTTTATTCCCATCAACTTATTACACAAAACGATACATCGCACGAATTAACGAAACAACAGAGAAAGTCATGAAAGGGGGGTTTGTCAACTCTCTGATTGATCCGTTAACAAACACTTTAAGGTCTCGTGACCAACAATTCTTAATAACAGGCAAACTAACTGAATGGTATTCCAATCCACAAACAGATACCTATGGAGATGTTTTATATACACACACGCAACCTTCATATTTGAACTCTCCGTCAAGTGGAACATATCAAATGAAAAACGTCCGAAAGTCGAATGAAATAATTGTGATGACTGATCACTTCTGTTTTTCTGCATGTTCTTTATTTGCAAAGAATGTTGTTGAGAAAAAGTCTGCAATTACTGCAACATATTCTGGACTTCCAACTTCGACTTTCAGAGTTGTTGGTGAGTCACCAACTGTTGTCATTAAAGACGAGGAAATCACAAGAAATTACAATGTCGACTTGGGGACATTTGGGTTATCAATGAAAATATCATTCATGCCATCTCTTCCTTCAGATGAGAGTGACTTTGTCCCAAATGAATATCGCACACATCAACCAGAAGAGTATGTTGATATAGACTCGTTTGAAGATACCGAAAGTTCTGTTATGGAATTTATCAAGGCGGCAATCCAAATTTATGAAAATCACCAAATTCAATGTAACGACAACCAAACAAAAAAGGACGATAGATGTAAAGAAAGTTCTGACAGCGAAAGTTGGGGTTCACTTTGCATTAACGGCGTTTTTAATCCCGAGCAGTGTGAATTTATCGAATGTAGAGAAGGGTATATACGAGACAATAACAAATGTATTACTGCAAACCCACAACCAAACGATGATCAAGAAACGAGCAATCAAATAGAAAGCCACGACCAAGACACCTCTCCAGCGTTTTATATATTCCTTTCGTTATCATTTTTACTATTCGTTTAATTGGGAATTTTTATATTTTCTTTGTTTTTGTTTATATTTAATTATTGTAAATATTGTAATTTTTTCATAAACATAAACACAAGAAAAAGAAATGATAAATCAAAGAATAAGTAGTGCAGCGAAAGCTAAAACCACGACTATAATACCATATGTAGCATCACTTTGGTCGTTAATTGGTGGGTTACTTGGATCTTCTGGCGTTGTTGGAAGTTCGGGGAAATCACCCAAATCTTCATTATCAATTGCGTTTGCCTCAACAAACTCTGATTTTATATTTGGAGTACTATACTTACTTTCATCAGACGTAAAGTTGGTGTCAGTGCCTTCAAACCACATGACGTCCATTGCTTGTAAAGCTATAGTAATCACATTATTTGTGTCTGTATATGTCGATTTTCCATCAATTTTTTTCAATGTTGCTGTCGATGGTTTGGTGAATTTGTATGTTGTTGCAACGTTTCTGACATTAACAATAAGGATGTAGTCCTTATTGTTTTTTCTAAACATTCTCCATCCCAAATAATTGTCTTTATTAACGCCTGTGAAAAGTGGGAGTTTGTACCCTTTGTTAGTTTTTGCGTTTGAATATATGATGTCGACGTAGTTATCTTTCAACTCTTTTGTCACCTTCTTTATTTTTTCCCACTCCGTTGTAAATTTGGCTTTATAATCCATTGTGACAACTTCAGAATAGTCGTAGTATATAATACCCATAGCACCACCAACAATGGTTTGGTACACCATATTTTTCAATTGCACCTCCGTTGGTGCAAACTCCTTTGACCAATCCAATTTTTCTGTTTTATTATAAACAGTCCAGTCAAAAATTTGGGGAATGTTCCACATTGCACGAGTGTTTCCCATTCTCTTTCTTCCTTGCTCTGCAACAATCCACACACTTTGTAAATCATCAAACGTTTGGACGGGATAATCAGGAATACCTACAACATCAAACCCCTCTTTTAACTTTCCTAAGATGAATCGCTGGTTGACCGCAGGCCATGCAATGTGATTTTCATCGTTATCACGAATTGCCCAAGTAGCTGCAGACAATGACGGTAATATAGAAACGCCCGGTTCATCAGCCATGTAATACCCAAAGAGTCCATTAGAGGTTTTCCATTCCTCAATTCGCGCTTTAGCCCAATTCAATTTTTCTTCTAAGACAGCATTGTCTTTCGAATAAGTTACAGCCGGCGAGAAATTATTAATTACACGAATTTGGCCATTTGATTTGGTGTAAACATAGTCCAACTGCTTCTTATCGAGCATTGGATACGATACCATTAAATTAAAAGGCGATCCAGTGAAATTGTTAATATCCAAATCTGTTATACTATTCATATACGACCCGAGGGGAAAATAGAGCTTTCCATCAACAAATGTACGTTTATCCTTGTCAACTAGAATTTTATAATTCTTCTTCGTGGCAACTTTTCTCATATTTGTATATACCATTTCCCGTTTATTAAATAAAGTGTTTCTGAGCGCAACTCTTACTATATACTTCCCAACAGCAAGTGGGTTTGGGGTCTATTTCC